AAAACCTGGGGCCACTTTGAGTCAGTGAAACACATTGGACGCAGGTTGCACAACAAAGACTACCTTCAAGGGGGCTACTGATATATTCCGGTCATGAAAAAGAAAATGCTCCAATTACACAAGGAATTGCACTGATACTATCCAAACAAGCACAGAAAGCACTTATAGGATAGGAATCTCATGGACCAAGTATCATCAAAGCCTCCTCCAAAACAAAGAGAGAGGGCATTACAATGAACGTCATCCAATGCTATGCGCCTACCAACGACTACAATGAAGACGTTAAAGACCAATTCTACGATAGGCTGCAGCCGATCGTCGATAAGTGCCCAACAAAGGACCTGACCATTCTGATGGGACGTCTCAATGCCAATGTTGGAATGGACAACACTGTATACGAAGACGTCATGGAACGACATGGACTGACTGGGAGAAAGGAACGAAAATGGTGAGAGATTTGCAAACCTATGTGCCTTCAATAAACTGGTCGTAGGCGGCACTATATATCCACACAAACGCGTACACAAAACCAAATGGACTTCACCGGACCACACAAAGCAGAAACAAGTCGACTATATCTGCATCAACAAAATGTTCGGGAGGACGATAGAGGATGTGAGAACCAGGAGAGGAGCTGGTATAGCATCAGATCATCATTTGCTGGTCACCAAGATGAAATTAAAACTTAAGAAGCATTGGACAACGGGACGGACAACATCACAAAAGTTTAATACGGCTTTCCTTCGGGATACTAACAAACTCAACAAATTCAACATAGCCCTCAGCAATAGGTTTCAGGCCTTTCATGATCCACTCAATGGAGAGGGAACTACTATGGAGAGCATTTGGAAAGGGATAAAAGATGCAATCATTTCAATATGTCAGAAGGTTCTGGGCCACAAGAAGCACCATCACAAGGAATGGATTACTGTTGATATACTGGATAAGATTCAAGAGCGGAGAATTAAGAGGACAGCGATCAATATCTGCCGAACAATAGCAGAAAAAACCAAGGCACAAGCTGAATACACAGAAGTAAACAAGCGAGTGAAGAAGAGCGTCAGAACCGACAAACGTAAACATGTGGAGGATCTAGCAACGACGGCGGAAAAGGCTGAGAGAGAAGGACGCATGAGACAACTGTATGACACAACGAAGAAACCCGCTGGAAATCATCGTAAACCAGAAAGACCAGTGAAAAGCAAGGAAGGCAAGGCAATCACCGACATTGAAGAACGACGGAATAGTGGGTAGAACACTTCAAAGAACTCTTGAATCGACCAGCTCCACTGAACCCACCCAACATCAAAGCGGCAAGCACGGACCTCCCAATCGATGTTGGCCCACCAACAATTGAAGAGATCAGCATGGCCATCAGACAAATCAAGAGCGGCAAAGCAGCGGGACCAGACAACATCCCGACAGAGGCACTGAAAGCAGATGTGACAGTAACTGCAAAGATACTCCACATTCTCTTCAGTAAGATTTGGGATGGAGAACAAGTACCAGCAGACTGGAAAGAACGACTTCCGATCAAAATACCAGAGAAAGGCGATCGCAGCAAGTGTTATAACTACAGAGGCATCACTCTTCTCTCAATACCAGGAAAAGTCTTCAACAGGGCATTGTTAAACAGAATGAAGGACTCCGTAGACGCCAAACTTCGAGACCAACAGGCTGGATTCCGTAAAGATCGATTATGTACAGACCAGATCATTGTGGAACAGTTAATTGAATAGAATTCATCACTCTACATCAACTTCATTGATTACGAGAAAGCGTTTGATAGCGTGGACAGGACAACACTACGGCGTGCCTGAGAAGATAGTCAATATCATAGGACATTCCTATGATGGACTAAACTGCCAAATCATCCATGGAGGACAACTCACCGACTCATTCGAGGTAAAGACCGGTGTCAGACAAGGTTGCTTACTCTCACCCTTCCTCTTTCTCCTGGTGGTCGACTGGATTATGAAGACGACAACACCTGGAGGAAAGCACGAGATACAATGGACAGTTAGGATGCAGCTGGACGATTTAGACTTCGCAGATGATCTGACTGTTTTTGGGGACGTTATTTCATTTGATTTAAAGCTTGTAAAACAGTAGCACTTAATTTTGTCCCTAGTCTATTCTACAGATCATAAAATTTCGTTTGATGTAGGATTCACTGCCATAGTCTTTTCTGTTTCAAAGCTATTGTAATTTAGACGTAATCTTTTGTACTCTATTTTCTACTTTAATTCCCCAGTTTTCGATATAATAGTATTTTCCTGATTGTTGTACGTTGTGGTCGAGTTAGTCATCTATTTATTCATGTATCTTTCTACACTAATCCGAAATGAGTGCCAGATCGGAACCTGGAATAAAGCGAGTACTGTTCCAGTTGTCTTGTCTTCTTTCTCGTGTGTGACTGTCAGCCAATCATGTGATAGGATAGTTTTCGTCTCTACCCCACTTCGAACTCACGCATACTGGCCTCAAGGTTAAGCCAGTGAGCCTATTGTGTCAAGGTCTTAATCTACACTAGACAAGTTATCCTCGGCACGAAAGTGGGTAGACAAATCAAGGACGTAACACTCCGATACAACACATTATGCACCAATCGAATTACACTTGATGGAGAAGCTTTGGATAATGTAACAACCTTTACATATCTGGGCAGCATCATTGATAAACACGGTGGATCTGATGCAGATGTGAAGATGCGGATCGGCAAAGCAAGAGCAGCATATTTACAATTGAAGAACATCTGGAACTCAAAACAACTGCCTGTCAACCAACACTAACATCAGAATTTTCAATACAAATGTCAAAACAGTTTTACTGTATGGGGCCGAAACCTGGAGGACTAAGAAGGCCATCATCCAGAAGATACAGGTGTTTATCAACAGTTGTCTACGCAAAATACTTCGAATTCGCTGGCTAGACATTATCAGCAACAAGTTGCTGTAAGAGAGAACAAACCAGATTCGAGTGCTGTCTGACGACCTATTTAAAGATGTATTCACTACTAATCTGGTTTCTCCTATTTATGAGACGAGGAGTACCCGCCATTAGAAAAAGAGAATAGTGGACATGTCATTGCCAGTAGTCGAAATTCACAAGTAGCTCCAGACAACTACGATTCAAAGGATTAAAATCACAGCACAGTGCCGTGCGGCCGTAGCTAAGGGGTTTCAAACCCTACGGGCCTTATGGCCAGCATTTTCCAATATTGGTCCCAGTATGTTCGATATAACATACACAACCTTAGTGAGATCCAGATATAAAAACTGCGCTCAGACTGCAAGCTACTATTCAAAATGTGATACAACTTCAACTTGACCTAAGTTAGTTGCCGTTTAGTATTGCCGAACCTTTTTGTTAAGTAACAAACAGTGTGATTCCAACAGTAACTTTTTGTTTATTTTTTTCGTGTTAATTATTATCGTGTCTGGGTGAACACATTTTTTATCACGTGTTAAAGTATTGTAGATCATCAACGTGGATGTTCTATGTCAAATGATTGGGAGCCTACTTGAGGTAGACGGGAATGATGTGACCAACAGCTAACGTCGAAGTCACAGCTTGCATTCACAGCCTAACGTGATTTGGCCCCTTGATGTATCAAAGTAATATGGCTGCTTCGAAGACTGTTTACCACGAACGCGGGACTACGGAGATATATTATTAGGAATGATTACAGACATGTTAGTGAAACCAACACCTCACCGGCTAGTTCATAGCGTATGATTAACTGGTGCGTATTGGTTGTCTTGACCTTGACAGGGATCTGTGATCTGTTCGATATTCAGTGACACAACTGCCGGATGATTTGGCTAGGGTTCAGTGACATTCCACTGCCCCTACAGTATATACACAACCGTTTTATTAGCTTCAATATTAATTGCTTAAATCCCTCTATTACTAATTCGCTTTCTCATATATACGTCCTTTAATACTATCAGTTCATCAGACAATCAATTACACTTTTGACCAGCCACTTAGTTTGTTCTCTCTCATTCACTCACACTTGCATTTCTTCTGGGATTCGTTTTATGTTCTTGAATCTTAGTGATCTATGTTGTGCAATAATAAGTTGTAATCAACTCTTTGTATAGTCTTCTGAAATTGATGCTCCATTGACAGTTATCTAGTGACAGTTATCCGGATGAGTGATATACGAAGCCACAGGAATTATCTCGGAGATAATTCGCTACAATGTGACCCGAATATCTTGAAAAAAGCACTGTGAGAGCCTAACTGTGTAATTCCAGAACCGGAACCCCGGGGTTTATGATAGAGAGTGGCTTTAGAAGCTAGGCCCCTTCCCTTGTTGAATTCAGGTTGGGAGGTGATCCGATTTAATCGTACAGAATACTAAGAAGTGATTTTGGACCCGATATATTCTCTTTTACTTTCCATCAGATCAAGAAAACGCAGAAGATAACATAGGTGTTTACAAAATTCACGAAGGAACTAAATACCGTTGGCAACCATATTTTCACGCAGAGTCATCAAATCTTGGGAACTGATGCTAACACCTTCAATTGACTCAACGAAGAGGTGATTAGACAATTTTAGCAGCTTACTTGAAAAAGATTAACACAGACCGTTGGCTTTCTGTATTAAATGCAAACTTGAGTCTGAACTCAGGCCTTTAGTCATCTGTCCATATCAAACTTTCTCCAATGGACCAACTTTATAAGTGGTTCAAACGGTTCAAATGGTTGAGGACGGAATAGAAGCTTTCGCTTAACGGGCTTCCGTGTCTAGTAGCAGTGGATCACCTCCAGGCAAAAACCTAGGTATATGAACGATAATAGAGGAAAAAAAGAATTTGGTAAATCATAATAAGTTATCCTTAGTCCTTAGCTCGCGTAACAACCATAACCTTATATCTACCAGGAAGTATGAATGACAGAAACACGATACATAATAAACATATGAGTATGTTGAGAAATAGATTTTTACAGTTTTCTAGTGTTTTTTGCTTTTAATGAGTGATTGACGTTTTGTGTGACACATTTAAAGTTGCAAGTATAATGGCCGCCGAGTCGGGTTCTCGATCTGTAAGGCAGCCTGATTCAGCTTGGGAATACTGTGGTGTGAACTTAACCATTCACAACATTATTATACCCGAGGAGCGTTTATTCCCTACCCCATCACAGCTGGACAAGATGGAATATGAAACAGAAATTGATTTAAGGATTCTTGGTTGCGAGTTAATCCAAGACTCAGGGGTTTTGTTACGGCTACCACAGGTTGCTATGGCAACTGCACAGGTATTGTACCAGCGATTTTTCTACTCCAAGTCATTCGTCCGTCACTTCTACGAGGTAGGTGTTTTTTGTCTAGTAACTTGCTTCCAGCATTACGCTATGGCATGTATATTTCTGGCTGCAAAGCTTGAAGAGTCTCCGAGACGTATTAGGGACGTAATCAATGTTTTTCACCATATAAGACAAGTTCGGGACAAAAAGTATTGCTGTATACATTATTGGTTTTTATTTCAGAACACCAACACCTGTGATTCTCGATCAAAGTTACAGTAATCTTAAAAATCAAGTTATCAAGGCTGAACGGCGTGTTTTAAAAGAATTGGGGTTTTGTGTTCATGCCAAACATCCTCACAAGGTAATTTATCTAAAGATAACCCATATTTTGCAGCTTGTTATTTGCTACTTACAGGCTTTGGACCATGAAACCAACAAAAACCTTGTACAAACTGCTTGGTGAGTTAGATTCGTTTGCATAAAGTTATAGATGTGAAAGTGCCATCTCCTTAAGGGTTTTAGTATAATCATATGTGGTACTGTTTTTATTCCAATTTCCCAGTTGTCGCTCCACACATTTGGCACTCACCATTGATAAGACTTCTAAAGACAATCATAGGCGATTTACAAGTCAACTAAAGAAATATTTGATTTCAAAATAATTTGTAAATGGAAATGGAGTTGGAATATATCAGTTTCGGCATAAAGTAAGAAGGTTAGGATCAAAGGTTATTAGTTTGAGTATAGTCGCGTGTCATGGTTAGAATAAATGGTTGTGGTTTTCATCATAGAACGAAATAAGCTGCTATAAAAGGTGCTTTGTTGCAATGTGAATGGACTAATTAAGTGTGGGAATCCGGAAGGCTTTAGTTTGTCTGATTGGTGATGATTTTCTTAACAACCTCGAATCAGTTAAGATTGTAATGCCGTTGTGTCCCAATGGTTAGAGCTAGTAGGGTTATGTTTGTCAACTAAGCTCCACCCAGGTATGATTCAGTCACAGCCTTAATAACGCCTCAAGTCGCATAAATTACGCCAAACTTGTAATTAACAGCAAGGATTAGATGTCAGTTTTTCTCATATTAAACTAAAAACATGAGCTGTCTCTCGCTACGTGAAATCATGAGTATCCCATTTCGAATTTGGCTAGTTGTCTAAATGTCGCAACAAATTTAAATGGTGAGACCCTTCTTGTCGCTCATGTGTTTCAACTTCATTAGTGTGCATCTGAGCAATATTTCTTTTTACGTAGAGAATTTGGTCATCAAAGCTAAACATAAAGAGTGTGACGCATACTTCTGGACAAACCATTGTCAAGATAGTGACTCAGTTGCACGAAATTTAGAAGGCAATATATGTCAACTACTCATTTGTCCTATAGCCTTGCAAGTTAAACTCCTGTTTTTACATAATTGAAGAACGAATTATGATACAAAGCATTTGGCTGCTGCTTCCACGTTAATATTGAATGGATTGCTTATTTCAGTAATGCACTTGAAATATTTTGGTGGAAACACTAGTTGCTTTAGTCATACTGTGTTAGGTAGATCGGGTAGTGAACGGTAAGATAAAAAAACAGCAGCGTAAGGTTTGAAGGTGATGTCTTGCCACTGACTGTTGGGGTATGGTGGAATGTGTCTCTAAAACCAATATCTATATCGACGCTGCCGCATATCGGTGGTAGAGGGTTGAAGAACATCAGCTCTGAAAACACGATACCTAACCTTGCCGCGCGTATATCCTTGGACGATGGTAAGGTCTTAATACCATAGAATGGACCCTAGAAAGTATTCTCGAAATTTGTGTAATTTGAACCAAGGTGCTATCCTTTAAGTTCCGCATATTCAAGACAACTGACGATTAATTCCTCAAGAAGTGTCCTCTCACAGTGTGGTCAACAGGGAAACCATAGGTTCCCACCCATTCATAACAATAAATTAGTTGGTGTTTTATATGTGTACTACGTATGCGCTACAGGCATACGTAGACGGTGTTTGATTTTTTATGGGTGATTTGGTAGGAGGCTAGGAGTGACCAGATCACAGCGTAGCATCAGTTCACAAAGCCAGTGGCGAACTGGGTTGTGTTGGTAGATCCAAACTATTTGGTTAGGGCTTACGTGGTTGCCAGAATTATTAGATAAAGACATCAACATGTCTAAGAATCGACCACTTGATCGTCCCTTAAATCTTAACGTAAAATATTTCCCTCGTTACTAAAGACATTTTATGGTACTAAGTTTCTTCCCTACCTCTGCTTTATTTAATAGATGATCATCCAATTGTTGAGATACGCAAGACAGTCTGATGGAAGTTGGAAAGTTGATCCAAGTCGCCTTTCGAAGTGCTTCAGGTGTTGTAAGCACCGCCAAATACTAATGATGTGTAGACAAGCCCTTAGGTTGCTTTGGTGGTGTTAGGCTTTGTTGCTCTAGGGACTGAACTATCACCAAACAGTTGGTAGTTGTTTCCATTTCGCCTGAGCCCCTAACCACTAACTTAATGTAGGTTTCACGAAATCTTTGTGGTGTTACATTTGACTTATAAGGCTTATAAGAAGCCTACGTAATGATCGTGAACAGTGGTGGGTAGCGAAAGCAAGAGAGATGGAAAAGGCAGCGGCAATAGGTAACAGTAGTCAGCTATTCAGACTCGTTAAAGAAACCGGTATTAGGAACCCGAATATCAGTGAAACCATCTCAGATAAAGATGGGCATATTATTCATTCTCAATCCAGGAGATTGGATCGATGGGCAGAACACTTTAGGGATCAGTTCAACTGGCCTTCAGCCACACTTCAATTACCCACGATCCCCAGTCGTCCTGAATGGAAAATTGATGTAAGTCCTCCAACCCTCTGTGAGGTTGAAAAAGCTATAGGAAATCTGAAGCGAGGGTGAGCAGCAGGCCCTGACAGGTTGACCCCTGAGATTTTTAAGGATGGTGGTCCAGTACTAGCAACGAGATTGACTGAGGTTTTAGGTAGAATCTGGGAACTGGACGTAATTCCATCTGACTGGTCCCAATCACTGATTGTGCCAGTCTATAAGAAAGGACAAAAGTCCTCCTGTGACAATCACAGAGGGATCAGTTTGACTAATATAGTGTCTAAAATATTAGCTTCAATAATACTAGGTCGCCTAACCAAAGCTCGTGAAGAGCAGACTAGAGAAAACCAGGCTGGTTTTCGACCTGGACGTGGTTGCATAGACCAGATATTCACCCTACGTCAAGTCCTAGAACATAGACACAAATTCAGACGTCCCACAATAGTAGTGTTTCTTGACCTTAAGGCGGCATTTGACTCCGTTGATCATGAGGTTCTATGGCAGTGTTTGTCACTGAAAGGAGTACCAAAGAAGTACATTAACCTCATAAAGGCTCTCTACTCGAACACGACTGGTCGAGTTAGAGCCTATGGCGAACTGTCATCAGAACTGGTTACCACAAGTGGCGTTCGTCAAGACTGTTCACTCTCCCCATTCTTGTTTAACTTTGTCGTTGACATACTTTTAGAGACAGCACTTTCATCAACTAAATCTCCAGGAGTTGGACTTTTACCGGGAGATTCACTTGTTGACTTAGAATACGCCGACGACATAGTTTTACTCGGTGAAGACACTGACAACATGCAGAGTCTTCTGACCACTATAAGCAGCTATGCAGGCATGTTCGGAATGCGATTCTCTCCCTCGAAGTGCAAAATGTTACTTCAGGATTGGGTTGCAGCGACACCTGAACTAATGATAGGGAGTGAAGTAGTTGAGCGTGTTGACAGCTTCACTTATCTTGGGAGTCTCATCAGCCCTTGTGGTCTGGTATGTGACGAAATCTCAGCACGGATACAGAAGGCTCGTCTAGCTTTCGCCAATTTGCGTCATTTATGGCGTAGGCGAGATATCCGTCTAGCAACCAAAGGACGGGTTTACTGTGCAGCAGTTCGCTCCGTCCTACTTTATGGCAGTGAAACATGGCCAATAAGAGTAGAGGATATTCGTAGGCTACTAGTGTTTGATCATAGGTGTCTTCGAAGCATTGCTCGTATATCCTGGGACCACCGGGTAAGTAATGCAGTTGTTAGGAAACGAGTACTAGGTAGGGATGGCAAATCGATTGATGAAGTAGTGAAACTTCATCAGTTGAGATGGCTGGGACATGTGTTACGTATGCCCGACCACCGACTACCCCGACGTGCAATGTTTCATAGTGTAGGAGCAGATTGGAAGAAAGTTAGGGGTGGCCAGACCAAAACGTGGCATAAATCAATGAAGTCACTGACAAGTGGACTGGGCCATGTTGGTAGGTGTAGACTACCTGGTTGGGATCCGCGAGATGATAGCAACCGATGGTTAGAGACCTTGGGTGACATGGCTCAAAATCGTTTGCAATGGCGAAAGTGCATCCACTCTTTGTGTTCTACCAAATTCTAATCTTCTGAATTCCTCATGTCTTTATCTTTTTCTCTTTCCAAATTTATTTCACTGTACTATACTCGTTCAATAATTTTTTCAAACCCTAATCTTTTGGATTTCTGATTATACTCCTACCACTTCTACCACTATGGGATTTGAATCGACAACTGCATCTCTGTGCTAATGTGGTATGGCAACTCGAACTGATGTACATACGTACGAAGTTCTACGTTGTGACTGACTGACTGACACTTAAGACCAATCAAACACCAAGGATAGCCTACAAAAAAGCTGCTTTGCTAAATCAAGAAAGACTTCATACCATCCTCACGTCTTTTTAATGCTACAAGTGCTTATCTGCGCTCCCTAGTCTAGCTTTATTTGGTTGCAGATTGTACTGTTATGTGCTGCAAATCTGGATGCCATGTGTTAAAGCGTAAAAATAGTTTGGAAGATAACTGAGTCGGTCTAAATTTAGACAGGTACTCCATGTCATTGAGATTTTCCTTTGATTTTATTGGACGAAGTTTTCGATATGTAAAATCGATAAGTAGGACGCTAATCGATAGATAGACTTAGAGATATAATGTAGTCGAGTGATGGCCGTATCATTAATTTAAACCGATGAATGGTTAAAAATCAGAGGTCAGATTAGAAGCTAAATTAGTAGATTCTTCATGTGAAAGAGTAGCATGCCTATGTATGGGACATGAACACAAAACAAACATGATGAAATGTCATAGGCAATTGGAAGAAATTAGCTTATGAATCATTCATTCTCCAACCAATTAGGGCCTGGTTTTGAGTGTCATATCAATGCATTTTGCAGCAAAATCCTTGATTGCAGTTGGTACGACTATCAATGCGGTCATCATTTAATAAAAATAAGCATGGGACTTGTCCCACTTGGTGGTCGTTATTTATTTGTATTATTCGTTTTTATAGTATTTATTGTAGTTTCGTATGATTATTGTAAGCCACAAAAATTTATAGAGTAATCAGAAGTTTCAACTTGAGAGTGGTTATAAACACTTCATTTGTGCCTTCTTAAAACTTTGTTTCATTAAATGTATGTAACAAATAAGCATGTTAAAAGTAGTTTTTAAGTGTGAAATATATTAGTTTTTGCTTGTTTGTTAATTCCCTGTTTATTGGTGGTTTGTGTGGGTCACAAAATGCAGTCATAGAGAAATACGAAGATAGAATACGTTATATAATTTTGTACTGCATCGTTAACTTGCAGACTGAAACATGATTAGGACAGGGTTTGGTTGTGCGCAAAACTGATTTCATTCGACCTTTAAGACAGGCGAGTTTTACATCACTGAATTCAAAGTATCTTTTAACATTCCCGGGTCTCCTTTGTCAGATGATTATGAGGCTATAATTGTTTCACTAGTTAGTAGGATGAAGTGTATCAAGTAGGCGACTGCAAGTTTAGTCCTTGTTCTAGAGACCGGACAGTGAATCTGGTACATGTTAGTACTGATTAAGTGTGATGAAATCAACTATTTTACTAAACTACTTTTAGACGGCAATTACATAGTATTATTTCAGAAATCCAACTACCTAGTGATTATGATTAGCGCTCGTAACTAAATAATGAACTACCGAACTTTTAGCAACTCCGTGAAAAATACGCAAAATCAAAATAACATTCAGAAATTGAAGCCGTTGTTTTGGTTTCTTGATATCAAATAGCCGTACCTCGGTAAGTTACAAATCAAAGATTTGATGTGTCTGTATACGTCTAAAATAAGGTTTATAATTGTTGTATCTCTTTATTGTGAATCTTCTGAAAAGATCTAAAACTTAGTATTCTTAATCTCCGCCTAAAACTTTTCGTACTTTAGGAATTACATGAACGACAGTCTTCGAACTGATATATTTGTTCGTTATCTTCCGGAAGCAATTGCATGTGGTTGCATTTATCTGGCATCATGTAAGCTCAACATTCCTTTGCCACGCCACCCAGCTTGGTGGGAAATGTTCAGCGTGAGCGAAGAATCTGTTCACGAGATCGCTTTGTGTTTGCTGCGCCTATATGCTCGTCCAAAGGTAGATGTTGGGAAACTTGAGTCAGTTCTAGCTCAACTCAGGAAATCTCAGGCAGAAGCAAAGGAACGAGAAAACGAGCTCAAGAAACAACAGACCGTCACAACACCCCCAAGTACTCGGTCCGACCACAGTTTCGGTTATAACTCACCCCAAAATCATTTGTCCAAATCTAAGAATCAAAACAGACCTAATGGGAATATGAAGTCAGTAGACAGTAAAGCGGAGCCTGAAGATATTACTACTGTTTTCGCCCCAAACTCGCTTTTAGCAAGCGCCTTAGCTAATGCCAAAGCGGTCGCAGCAACGATTACAGCATCGAAATCTGGCATGATCACAGACGAGTTGTCAAAAGTGGGTACCGACCCGTCAGCTGTTCCACATAAATGCGAACCTAATGAAGACGTTTCACCAGGATCTCCAAAACAGCTGGCTGAACCTAATCAAATAGATAATATATCCGACGTTTCGAATAAAAAGCCTGATAGGTAAGCTTCTTTCCAATAAATGTTTGTAATTTGTTGCTAAACAAGTATTTTCAACCTAAGCCGCCTAATAATGTTTGATACTCAGACGTGTCCTTTCATGAGTACACGTAAAATTATCATGTACTTTTCTGGTTACTCAACTCAGCCGTTGGGGTCAAATAATCATTTCATATTTTATGACTCAGTTTCATACATGTATCTTCATGCTTCCTGACGTTGCTGCACATTTGGTCACATGATTAAACGTGTCGGTTAACTACACATCTTTGATAGTATTCAGATATTGGTAGATGCAGGATACTTGGTTGGGGTCCGTGCGACTATCGTAACCAATGATTGAAGACTCTGGGTGACATGGCTGAGAATCGGTCACAATGGGTATACTCTTTGTCTTCCCTTAAACTATGAGATTAAAATTATTTCTTTCTGTATTCTTTCTCTCTGTATGATATCCTTATATACAATCTTTCTTTTATATATTTGTACCATTAAGATTACTAAGAATTTAGTATTGATCTTATTGTGCTAATGAGGTGTGGCAACTTGGACCGATGCATATATTTTCTGGTCCTACGTTGTAGCTGACTGACTGAAGTTCGCTAAACATTTTTTTCCGTTAAGTTATATCCTTTTCTTAGATGACATTGGATTTATTTGCAGTTAAATTTTTTAACAGATTATGGGCCTGAAAACCACTAACCTTCTTTTGATTAAGTTTAACAAATAGGAAATATTTCATGGATTTATCTTTTCTTGTCATTACTAACCCATGTAACTTTTCAGTCTAAAATGTTAGGTAGACTATAGACTAACAGTTGGTGGTAGTTTACACAATCTTCAGGCCGCCATTTTTGTAGAGGCTCGTGATACTACCTAATAGCCCAGATCCAAGTGAACCTGAAATCAAACTTGGTATTTATTTGTGAATGTGGAGTGTTCTAAGTTTAATTCTTCGTGGTTGTCGCAATGAGTATATGTAGGACATTAATTTTCACCCAGTAGTATACGGTTGACCCATTTTGATTCAGTAAAATAAGCTATTACTACTTTCTTGAAGGCAGTTGCTCTCGGTACCCCTACTATATTGTGAAAATTTGCCAACAATGGAGTTGTCATTCCTGGTTGTAGGTAATATCCATTGTTTACATTCCTTGGTATTTTGTCAATAATCTTGAATTACTCATGTGGACAAGATTCTTCACATTTTTTAGAAATTAAATTAAAATGGATCCATGTACTTACAAACAGTTCGAAATATCAACTATGTTTTATACGGAAGTTAGTAGTGACTATAGTTCGAAAATTTACGTGGTAGAAACAGGATTTGCAACGAATTGTGTTGCTGAGGTTCTCTTGTTGTAAGCAATAGTGGTTCAAAAACTTACGCAAATCAGCTTGTTGGTCTGCCCTAGCTGAAGAGCACCCGAATGCCCGTGGTACAGGCTAGGATGAGGAGAGTCTGCTCTCCTTAAAATGCTCTCACATGGCCGCGCGTATACAGGCTGTGCCAGGGAAGTCCTCACTGCCTCGCGGCGGTGTTGTTTATGTAATACATAGGATGAACAGAGAATGCCCAGCGCTGTAACCAGGATAGTGGATATATGGAATCCACCTAGGGAATTTGGAAAACCCTGATTCCAAACCAATTGTGCACAATGGTTCCGGGATCCTGAAGGAAAAATGGCGTATGAATCTATTGTTTGTCACCGGTTACCATGGGATTGCATCTACTTACGCTGCTCCGCCGCTTTGTGGATTTGATCTCTAGGTCGAAGGCTCGGGGAGTGGCCCTTTAGGAAAAAGCCACCTGCTTCGGTTTGGGCACCCGGGCAGTATTTCAGCCCTCACACCAATCGAGTGATTTGTGTGGCACATATGTATTTGGTGCCTCCTCGTATCAATGTTTATGTGTTTTAATAATAACTGAAGAAGCAGAACTCATGTATCTGCATGCTTTGTGTATTAAAACTACAGGTTAATTTGCAATCTTATAAGAATGAAAGGTTATGTAGACTTGAGTTACTGCCCCACGTCCTTTGTCTGGATAATACTGAAACGTATCTTCCACAGGTGGAAAATGAGAAATGATAGTTTTAGATGAAATTCTTTTTTTACTGTTTCATTGTTGAATAATCTTAAATTGTTTATTGAATTATGTAGAACTGTACAAGAAAACTCTGAGAGCAAAAGACGACCAATTATTCGACCAGCTGCCTACTCTAATATTCCATGTAATAACACAGAATCAGATAAAAGACGTCGACATCATCGACACAAATATTCGTCTAAAAAGCATCATTACAATTCGATCTCCTCATCGTCTTCGTCGTCTGACCGAGATATTGATCAAAACCGTTATAATTCAATAAACTTATTGACAAATAACTCCAAATCTCGTAATTATCGACAAAAATTAAATGATATATCATCCTCTGGCTCTGAAACAGGCGATAGTTCTTCAAGTCCTAGCAAACACATAATCAGTGTGCACGATCGCAGAAAAAACTATAATAATAAACGCAAACATATTCCACGCTCCTCATCAGAGGATTCCCAAACATCTTCTTTCAGTGATGAACCTCGTTTTTCCCCGACTCATCATAATCCAGTAAAAACTAAAAGTGATCGCCGTCATTTATCACCGCCCTATGCCTACCGAATGGATTATGATAAGTCACATAAAAGCAAACATCGTTCATCATTGCGATCTGCACCAAATGGTGAAAGTGGTCGTATATTGCGTGAGCACTCTAACCATCGTCTAGTTTCGAGTCGACATCACGATCATCACCGAAGGTAAATTGTACATATGAATGATTTAATTTTACTCTGTACAAAAATTTTATGAGTATTAACTTTTTTCACTGGTTGCCTGTACGGTATGATTGATAGATTATCTACCAGATTGCAATAAATTATTTGCACTATCCTATCGTTTTGCGGTGTTTTACGTATTTTCAGTTCTTGTTTAAAAAAATACCATTCAAAACGGATTCTTGAAAAACTATATTACTTTTGCGTTCCAGTCTTGGCAAGAAAATTATATGAAATGTTTTAACATTGGAAACATTTTCTTACTCTGCTAGTCGAAGTTTCAAATTGAATCCACTGTACTTTTCTTTAATTGATTCTGTTAATGTATCAAGTATTGATTGATATGCTTTTCTCCAACTACCATCGGGTGGATGTGCAAGTTTTGTTATAAGTCTATCAAGGAGTATAAGTACTGAGCGAATTCGCTCTAAATTTGTATTCACCAGAGATGAAAGATAATCGGTCAAAATGTGTATATCTTCGTTTTGGGGCACTGAAAATTAAAAACAACGTTTCTTATTGATCAATGATGTAATAAATGCTATTACTAATATATATATCCCTACACGTCTTTTATTGTTTCAACCTTCAGTTTACTTTTTCTGTATTTAGATATTAAAGTAATAGACTGTAAATTCAGGGATTCGTCATTTCACGATCGGTGTAGCGGTATTATTGGTGCTGAGCTAATGATAACGCCCAGTGTATGTAACCTGTGTAAAAATAATTTCTAACGATGTGTTGCTACCTTAGTAATTTATTACTAAACTGGGTATCTTTCAAAAGTAACTACCCCCAAACGTTTTTATTAAACACTGATTTGTACCTACCTGCTTCACTAGTTATCCAATCACCAAAAATTTGTTGAAGTTCTGTCAATGTCTTATTGGTGAACAAGCCACTCGGGTCTTCCATTGCCTGTGTTAAACAACCGAGCTGTGGTATTTCAGGTTTTATGGAGTTCATAGGAGTAGGTGTACTTATGTGTTTTGAAATGGTTTTACAATTCGCCTTTTGAAGACGTGCACTCTTGACTACTGATAATTTTCCTCCCTTACATACGCGCTTTGTCTGCAACTTTCTGCCATTCACTGATATGTTTCTTTGTTTTACTGGAGTTGTGATGGGCATATGATTTGAACTACATGACTAGAAAAGATTGAAATTATTAATGTTGTTAGATCATAGCTTCCAGAAGCAGTTTTAAAAATATCAATAGTAAAAATAGCAACGCATTAAATGTATTTCTTAATCGATCCCCTGCCCTAATTTCTATGTATTTTTTCTCATTAGGCACACATATCTTTAAAGTGTTTTATCTGGTTGGTTATCACAGCTAACCTATGTTAAATAAAGTGATGTTTTTAATGGATAAGCGTTCATCCTGACAGTTTCCCAGCAATTTTAAGTTTTGGTACTTACTGTCACATTTTTCTGTATTTCGAGTGCTCGGTTGGTATTATGTCTGTCCTCTAAATGTCCCAATCGATTACAGTCGTTTGAAATATCTTTGTTTACATCCGTGATGTTTAATTCTTGATGACGTTGGTCTTCATTGTCGGTCACACTAGAAGTTGTAGATAAACAAAAATAACATGCAAGTTATATATCAACAGGGTTTTTAAGAGGAAACATGTGACCTAAACTTATCGTTTCGGTGTTTCGTGATAGCGTAGGCCAAGGTTAGTGGCTATCTGCTTGCTTTCAACTATATCTATACTGATCCGGCAAAAATAATTAGTAAGAGGAAAATATGTACGTTTAATAACAATCTATAGATATACTAATAATCACGTTCAGTTATTTTGGTAACTGTAAATTCCTCTTAATACAATCCCGTGTACCACCACCAGGTATCTTCTATTATGGCAACTTGGACCGATGCATATATGTGCCTGGTCCTACGTTGTAGCTGACCTGAGGTATCTTCTATATGATAAATGTTTGCTGGATCTCACTTTCCAACTTTATAAGCAGTTGGTGGAAATACTGTAGCTGTAAACTGCTCGATAGATCATTAAAACAGTGACATGAATAAAGCTAACGTGTTTTAATTTTATAAAAAGAGATGCAATGTTTTGTGTAATGTTAATAGTACTACTTAGATGTGGAAGCTGAAGGATCATTTCATTAGGCAAGAACTAAGTCCTAAAGCATTTAAGCTAGATATTTACACATTCAAGGTACTCAATGCGAATTCGATCAGAGGACATATATTTGTGAATTTCAGCTGTTTGTCACAGGCTGGTTACCTTTATTTTTTTATAAGTTTGTAAATGTAAATAAGTTAAAGGGGTCGTAAGGCTGTATAACGTAGTGCCGTTTGGTTAATAGTTTAATTTAAATTTCGAACATCACTTGACGTCTTTCGGGGTTTTCCACATCGTTACTATTTTCGAAGACGGTGCTGGCAAAAAGTAATTTGGTTCATAACTAGATAATTTGCACTTAGTTGTATCTGCGACCATAACAAACAAATTTGTCATCCAAGTAGATTATTTAATCTTTGAATTTAGTTTAAAATAAACTACCACATTATTGCCAAACAAGTTCCGTTTCTACATGTATAAATTAAATCGCCTATAGCAAAATATAATCAACTTTGCTGGGTTTCAGGTAAATGTAGAATTACTCATATTTCTATATAACTGTAATAACAGTAGATTTTGAAACAATAATACCAACCTAATTTGCTGACATTGGGAGTTTACCAAGTTGTTTGTTTTTGGCAAACGAAGTGACTGGTCGTTATCTTTGAATGTTTGGTCGTTGCTACATGGGTTCATAATCTTCATACAATTAACCCTTGAACCTCCATGCTGTAGTTGATGAACTTGCAATCCTATCTGTACGGAAAACATATTAAACCATATTTATCATAACATTGAGAATAAATTGACATTGTTTACTGTGTATGCAAACTCTACCTATGAATTGACATGCATGGTAAATGTAAATGGATTTTTATGAATTACAAACATCTAGTGATAACTTGTATGATTCGTTAGGGCATGATAGTCAAGTGTGTAGAGAATGGAAATATTCAAAACTACAGTTAATAAAACCTTTTTTTTATGACAAACATTTGTAATAAAGCTATTTCTCATTCAAAAATTTCTGAGGTAACTTACAACTTTATTAGGTGACGTCTGGTCACATATGTTTGGCTTTTACATGTTTTTCTATGACTTGATTACCGATTTCGGTTAATAAATTTCTTTTCAAGTTATTGGGTTTAAAAATCTGATCTGACAGCACCCTTATGTGAGGGCTCAATTATAGGTGTACGAAAACTATCAACTTGTCAAAACAGATCACTTCGAAGTATTCCGCTTTATTTGTACTTTTTCAGTTAGAGAATGGCTTTGCCTTTTTTGTTTTGCCACAGTCAATCCTTTAAGTAAATTTAGCTTTGATATAGTTCTAAGCGTAATTTAAGTATTGGATATAGCATACTTCCAGCTACTTTGTTAAGGATATGGCGATTTTATTTTGGCTTGCGCTGGTTACGTAGTAGGGAATTGTTTCTTTCTCTCCCCCATTATGTCTGTATAGATCCTGTCAGCTCTATGTGTGATCCATGAAATGCCGACATCTCGATTCATGAGAACACGAACTACACTAGCAAGTTGAGTAAAGAGCAAAACCTATTTTATTTATTATCTTGTACTTTTGTGAATTCGATTCTAAAATTTGAGATATTTTTCAGTCTGTTTTCACTGAGGGAATCATCAATTTGGGGAACTCATTCCCATCTTTTATTCGGACTGCTTGTCCTGTTCATAAATCGTGAAGATGGATATCTGCAGATCCGTCCCCAAAATCTTGGTGAGTAAATACCACTTGCTATTGCTTTGTATACTGATTAATAATCCCTAATATCTTGTCACACACAAAATGTTGATGGAATTATCAAGTTAAAATAAAGTTAACACGTCAAATTAAACACTAGTCACAATCTCCGTCTTCCAAAATTTTGATAATTCTTTATATATAGACAGATAAGTAGTAGAACTAACTTGAAAGTTTTTGGAGCTTCAGTAGGAGTTCTATAAAATCATCAACCTAGTTCTTATTGGTTACCGTTAAACCCCTAGAAATAAAATTTTGATTCGTTCCAAAAAACGCAGCAAACAGAATTCTGTACTCAATATTATTTTCCGAACTGTCGATTTTGTACATGTATCTTACAAATTGTTAATAATTCATTTCTTCGCTGATTTAAATCTGAAACTTCCCCCCTTTTTTCATTGCCGGGCATATTACATTGAGATTGGAGTCTATATTCATAAATTATCCTTATAACAGTTTTTTGGAAAAATGCCTAGTGTTCCTAAATAGCAAATCGTTTTTAAAATTGTTTTTCCTGGGAAGATTCGAAGAATTGTGTTTCCATTTGATTCGTTATCAATTAATTCAGAATTTTCACTTCTTAAAATTTAAATCAAGTTACGAAAATAATCCAACATTTAACGTTTTGTCCGTAGCATACGTTTATCAAGTCATGATCTCAGAATGGTGAAATAATGAGCTGAAATAAATGTGAACGATTAATTTCCTTGGTGTTTCGCTTCGGAGTTTGAAATAAGTAGCCTGCAACATTTAATAAATTGTTTGGTTACCAAACAGACAGACATCATTTCACGAATTGGGAAGATTTTCTTTCTTTCTCTCAGTAAGCATTAGGATAAAAGATGCGTTCATGTTTTCATCAGATTATGGATAAGAAACCAAAGCAATCTAAAACATAGGTACTATATTCATGAATGTTACTGAAATCTAGAGGGTAGTCATTGATTTCAGTACTACAAATCAAATTGCTTGTATAGTTTCTATTTGCTTTGATGGTTCTACAATCCAAGTTAAGTACATTCGGCGATTTAGCTGATAGATACTTAGACTTTTTCGTTAGGTAACCGATTGTCTTGAAATTAATCTCGGAAAACAATTTAAGGTAAAGTTTCTCCTTCATGCTGTAATGGTCGACTTTTTTCTGGTCTGCTTTGTTAGTATCAAAATTACATGGATTGTGAAATCTGTTTTGGCTTGGGATAATAATGATTTATGAGGTAAACTCCGCAATTTAGACAAACACAATGTTAAAGGTAAGTTTTGCAAGTTTTACTTTCAATTATATGCATTCATAGTGCAGAAAATATTTTATTAAATTTAATTCTGTTGTATATCCATCCAAAAATAAACGTTTCCTAGGGAGAGCTACATAATATGTTATAATAGTTTCAGTATACTTGAAACATATGATAAACTCACTCCCCGTAAATCTTCTGGTTCAGGACATAATCGATAAACTGTCTTTACTGCATATCGATAAAGGACTGTAGCGTCTGCTGTATGTTCAGTCATTTGTATAGTGTGATTGGTTATTGAACATAAACCATGACCTAAATTAGGAAGTGAGAATCGATTTATGCTCGCTTATCATATAATCACTTGAGATTGAAAAAATATGTTCAATGAATTAATTGATTTATAAGACACAAAATCGGGGTTTTGTTTCGTTTGTATTTTGTAGATAAGATAAAGTCATTTTCATACTGTTTTTTACGCGAACGTGCATCGAGAAAAGCGCGTTCTGTGTGTGGAAGTGCTAATATGGCGATATAAGATTTGCGGTCCATTATCCTGCACTAGACATTAAATAATTAGATCAGTAGGACAAAAATCAAAACTATGTTATTACACTTAATTCGATCATCCGATCAAATGACCGAGAAACTGGTATAGGGCAGAACAATAGTTTTCACATACAACACAAAACAGTCAACGGGTGGCATCAAAGTAGGTCCAATTTTACGTATAAGATATTCACTTAAATTTAGTGTAAATGAGTAGGCCTGTCTTCCCTCGTTGCCTAATTGGGGCTTGGTTTCACGTGACATATCAACAACTCAGCTACTTACTAAGAATTCACATGCGTTTTACATGTTATGCACCAAACATTATTTCAGCGGTGCTGATATACTTATTTGTACACCTGTACATTATTAACTAAAAAACGTCGGTTTAGTTGACAACTGTCACTCATATCTCACAGCGTGTCTTTTCCAATTGAATTATTCTCAGCATCGTAAGAAAATATTCGCTATTTAAAACCTACTTTTGTTCAAGTGCTTATCGTGATAGTAAAGGCTCCTAAACTGATTTACAATCCTTAATCAACTGTTACATTGTTAAACACAACTGACTTACGATGAGGTCAAATGACATATAGTGGTACATGTAATAGATGTTTCAGTAAATTATATTTAGAGAAAACCAAACGTACCACAACGTTCTTCATGAGATTAATTCGCTTTAAATACCATTACTTATAGCGTACATCTAAAAAGTATCGGGAGTCATACTTTTTAACGCTTATTCAAGTTCTTTAACAAAATTTAGTGAGAAAAATGCTTTATTAATCGAGTATAGTACTGTTTTTATCAAAATAACCTGTTTGCCCCTGTTTTTCAAGTTAAAGATTTTAAACTGGACAGCAGTTCCAGGCGTTAGTGACGTTATGTCGATTTAATCATTAAACTTTTACCAGACAGATCTTTAGATACTTAGTGTATTCCAGCGTACTATGTGATAATTATTAAATTTTTACATACCTACTGCTGTCGTTTAATGATATTGTAAAAACGTGAGTGAGTATTTTACTTATTGCAGTAGTTTTACTGATGTTTGATGAATTTGCCACTTTTACAAACGGAATCAAGAATAAGCTGGAATACAACTGTAGTTATTCTGTAGTGGTTCAGGTTATACAATTTTCAGTTGCCAAGCGTTTACATTTTTTGGGCGCACAACTTTTGAAAGTTCAAGTCACATTGTCAGTATTTCTATAATTAATCAGTATCATGAATACAGAGGAATTAAGGAATGCCGCGAAGTTGTAAACGAAGTAATTTCCTATTCAAATAATTTAATTATGTGTAACGTCCGTGCATAAGTGAACTTAATTCGAGAAAGTGTGTGTACATACGAAATTAATTGCATTATAAAGATACACTCCGTACCACTTACCCATATATTTTGAAGTCTGCACAGGGGCGTTAGGAAGTCGTAAGTATAATTTGACGGTTAGTGATTTTCCTACACAGCCTTCGTTCATTGAACTCATTTTGATATTTCGCATTCTAGAGCTCAATTCTTCGCATAGTGATTGTACTAAGGCTTCTAATTCAGATCGCTAAAAGTTCAATTATAAACAAATCTTTTACATATCAAATAAATATTTTGAATAAAATTTGGATCGTTAATTATGTACACTGATACATTTTCTGCGTAAATTCCAGAAACAAAAATTCATTATAATCCACAATAAGTTGGAATTCAATATGTATATTTTAATTCGTGGTTCTACTATTCACATAGGTGTATACCAACCACTAACAACAAAACTAATCGAAAAATTAAACCGTATTTTGTATGGTTGCTGTCCAAAATTGGCAGTCCAGTTTTGTACGTTTTAACTGCAGACGTCTCGGAGTTCAGGGAAACCTGACTCTAAATAATACCTAGTGAATGCGTGAAACGCACAGACAAGTAAAAAAAAAGCCTGAATTAATTAAATAGTTGTTTCAGAAATTGTCCTAGGTGTTCGGATGTAAATACTGAGTCGTTTACGTTCACTAATCTAAAATATCATAATTTATTTCATTAGTCTTCCTTCTGAACCATATACGATCTTTTTAGCATATATTGGCGTTACATTAATTCTACGTAGAGTTGATCAATGATAACAATTAAAGTTGTATCTTTTTACAACGTACTATGTGATTGCATCACTAGCTTTTACTACGCTTGCCACACAAACCTGTTTTTTCGTCCAGTTACAGATTTCAAAAAATACCATCAATTAGCAATCTAGATGCAGTGATTACACAACTGCATCAACTTATAGCCACATTTTCTTGTGAAATTTTGTTTCTATGGTTTTTGAATGGCGTCTCGCGTTTTGTATTAAAAGTCTTTTGTCTTGTTTGTAGATCATGAGAATCTCATGTCCATATTTCTCCTCGAAAAATCAATGGAAATAGTAAAGAACTGTGCTCATCTGGGTAATTGGTTGTGAACTGCAGACAGAAAACCTCCATTGTTTTATGCTGGTACAGAATGCTAGATGCCAATGCGGGTAATATTTGATGGTGCCAGCCAATCTAAATTATCGGTTGTCCTAGAGTCTCAAAAAAAATTTAGTCTGAAAAATTCGGTTTGAGCCATAATTTTTTAACAGTTGTGTCTAGTTGTTGTCGTCTCTCCAGAACTGTTCCCATTTAGACGAAAGATGACATAGTTCTGTTTGCTGAAGATGCTGACAAAATGCAGTCTTCTGTTAGAACTGAGTTTATTTATTTATTTAAACACATAAATATTGGTACAAGAAAGCACCTGATAAATATGTGCCTCACAAATCTCATTCGATTTGTGTGAGGGCTGTGATACTACCCAGGTGCCCAGACTGAAGCAGGTGGTTTTCTTAGGGGACCACACCCCGAGCCTTTAACCTGAATGTCTGATCCACAAGGCAGTGGAGCATCGTGAGGAGATGCAGTCCCATGGCAGTCGGTGATCAACGGTTGATTCGTACGCCATTTGTTCCCTCAGGATACTGGAGACCATGTGCACCATTGGTTTGGAATCAGGATTTTCCAACTCCCCTAGGTGAACTTTCCGTGTCCACCAACCTGGTTACAGCGCCGGATATTCGCTTTTCGTCCTCTCACTTTCGTAAACAACAGTAATACCACGAGAAGGCAGTGAGTAGGACTTCCCTGACAGAGGCTATATATTCGCTGGCCATATGAGATCATTTCAAGAGGGAGAGGTGACTCTCCCCACTCTCGGCCGTACCAGGGCGTTTGGGGGCTGAGTAACAATGCCAGGATATTTTTAATGCGTTTTCCCCCCTGTACATGTAAATTGTTACTCCAGGACTGGCCTGCGCAACACCTGAACTAAGGATAGGGAATAAAGTAGTCGGACGTGCTGATAACTTCACCTACCTTGGAAGTCTGATCAGCCCTAATAAGTTGGTGTATGGAGAAATCTCGACATGGATTTAAAAGCTCGTTTGGCTTTTGCCAACTTATGGCGCAAGCGAGATGCCTGTCTATCAATTAAAGGACGAATATACTGTTGCAATAGTTCGTTCTGTTCTACTTTACGGCTGCGAAACGTAACCACTACGAGTAGAAGGATCACCGCGTGAGTAATGATGGTAAATCAGTTGCTGAGGTCATGAATCTTCATCGACTGAAATGTTTGGGCCACGTGTTACGTATGTCTGGACACCGATTACGACGACGCGCTATGCTGACTAGTATTGGGGATGGTTGGAATAGAGTGAGGGGCGGCCAAACCAAAAAATGGCATCGGTACTTGAAGTCACTAACTTCGAGTCTGAGTCATGTTAGTAGATGAAGAATACTTGGTTGGGGTCCGTGCGACTATCGTAACCAATGATTGAAGACTCTAGGTGACATGGCTGAGAATCGGTCACAATGGGTATACTCTTTGTCTTCCCTTAAACTATGAGATTAAAATTATTTCTTTCTGTATTCTTTCTCTCTGTATGATATCCTTATATACAATCTTTCTTTTATATATTTGTACCATTAAGATTACTAAGAATTTAGTATTGATCTTATTGTGCTAATGAGGTGTGGCAACTTGGACCGATGCATATATTTTCTGGTCCTACGTTTTTAGATGGTTGAATGAAGATCGGACGTCAACACTACTGATCTGTGCAATGAAACGAGAAAAGCTGTTACTGGATAATATGATTCTATTTAGATGGTGGGTTTTTTTGTTTAACCGCTAGCAACACAAAACATTTATAACGTTTACAAGGATCTATTGTTTAAGGTCAATGGGTTAAATAAACAAGAAATTGTTGCATCAAGGATCAAACCAATAACACTCAGGTCTCGCAGTGTGTACGTTATTATCAAACCATTAATTAAAAATTTAATGGTCCATATATCCAACTTCAATCAGTTTATGATAGAGCGCGATAGTGATCCAATTTCATCGCTAATACATGTTTTCCTCTGGGCATAGTTAAATCCCAACAGTGGCAGCCTCTACCTGAAGCAGAAGTTGATCATTTTTAGACACATGATTATTGCTTATTTGGTCCCTTCTTTTTAAGCTAATCCATCATGAAAACTATTACAAACGTTCTTCGGATCTAAAAAAGCAAGAAAATACAAAATCTTTGATCTCTTTTGGTGCGCACATGTGAATTTGTAACCACAGTTCCATCCAAGAGCATAGAAAGAGACTAGTTACGGTTGATGACTTATCTGCTGTAGTTAAAATTTCAGAGTTTTCGTAATATCAACACGTTGGTAAGTTGTAGAGCAATAGGGTTTCTTAAAGTGCAAAACAATTTTGGATTTCCTCGTCAACTGGAAAAGTATCTTGCAGATAACAGCCTCTCATTAACTGCTCCTTATTCTTATCTAAGCAGTCGTAGAGTTGAAACGAAATCTCACTTGTAGCTTATCACCAGCAAACTATTCGATATATATTGTATTTCGTTGAACATCGATATTCAATTATTGCCAGTGATCGTATAAATAATCAACCTCATGAATGATCGCTACGGTTGTCATCCATCTACTGTCTTTAATAAATATACATCTGTTTTTCATCAGTATTCTCCTGTTAACGTGAGAAGTTATGTTTCTTATCGAGTAACAAATTCTCCTTTTGAAGATTTTGTCTTAGTTATCTATTTGACTTCTATTTCTCACATATGAATGTCTTAACAAGTTAGTGTCCATTCACATTTTGAAGTGCATTGATCCAATAAATCATCTGGTTTTGATGAAACTGGTCTTTTGATTTTACTATTTTTACGAATAAAATTAGTACATTAATGGAAATTCATATATAGGAAACTTACTGAGCTTAGTCGAATTCCGTAGTTCATTGATGCTGATACAGATTTATATTCCTTCTCGAATTGCAAACTATCCAAATCCTAAAATATTAAGAGATGTTTACAAGACAAAAGAACTAGGTCTAAATAATGGAAGTATTGCCAATAATGTAGTATGGAAGTAGGTACCGCCAATAGAAACCTTTGGGAATTCCACTCGCTAATCATTTAAACATATAGGGTTTTATTTTGGTGACTCGGCTAGCGTATCGTTTGCTTCAATGTTTCACTAGTTGAGTTATAGGCTGATTTAAGCAGGCTCTATCAGTCAGCTACAACGTAGGACCAGGCACATTTATGCATCGGTCCAAGTTGCCATACCTCGTTAGCACAACAAGATGAACACCGGATTCATAGAAGTAATTAATGTAGTGGTGATAGTAGTATATAAATTATAGGGTGTATATAAGGATATAGTATAGGAAGGAAGAGAGATATGGAGCAATTTTAGTCTCAAGGTTTAAGGGAAGATAAAGAGTGTATACACCTGCGCCATTGTGGTCGATTCTGAGCCATGTCACCTAGAGTCTCCTACCAGTGGTTACGATAGTCACACGGACCCCAACCAGGTAGTCTGCATCTGCCAACATGGCTCAGACTAGAAGTTAGTGACTTCAAGCACTGATGTCATGTTTTGGTTTGACCGCCCCTAACTCTCTTCCAACCATCCCCTACACTAGTCAGCATTGCGCGTCGTGGTAATCGGCGTTCGGGCATACGTAACACGTGGCCCAACCATCTCAGTCGATGAAGATTCATGACCTCATCAACTGATTTACCATCATTCCCTATTACCCTGTGTCTAACCTCACTATTACTTACCCGGTGATCCCAACAGATGTGAGCAATATTTCTAAGGCATCTGTGGTCAAATACTAGCAACTTACGAATATCTTCTACTCTTAATGGCCATGTTTCACAGCCGTAAAGTAGAACAGAGCGAACTGCCGCGCAGGAAATCCACTGGTTTTTTGGAGCCCTATGGTTTAAATAACTAATAGATGTTACTGCTGTTTCCACAGCCGTTCGTGTGTCTTTCCAAGCATCACCTGTGTCAGTCTCGTTTACAGAACTGCCTAGATGTGAACTCAGTTGTTTCTGGAATTCGCATTTGGCTTTCTCGTCCTCCAGTTCAATCCTAATGGGTCTTCTTAGTGTAGTTTTCCTGCGTCCATTGAGGCGCAGACAAATGCGCGCTCGTATTAAAGCGTGATCAGAGTCTAAACAGGTATTCCAATACGAGCGACAATCTTCTATTGAGCCTCTCCAACGATGACTGATGACAATATGGTCTATTTGAGTCTATCGTCTATTTGGTGCAGGTTGTCGCCATGTTAGACGATGTCTCTCCTTATGCTTAAATATAGTGCTCGGTTGATTCATCACGATAGGCAAGCACGACCACCACGTCAAGGTAGCAGCAACGGTCGGGAGCAGGCTCTATGCCGTCCTTATGTTGACAGCGCTCTTAAAGAAAACGATACAGTAAATCTCATCGTCCTCAAAAGTCTTAAAAATGTTAGGCGACCAATCAAAAACCAAAACGAGTTACTGACCCTTGAAGCTAGACAAAGAACTTAGTGTTGAATGCGTGGGACATGCTGGAGTTATATGGGAATACTTATATTTCACGGCTGATGCTCAACTTATGTTGTGTATTTGTTTATAACTAATGGACAGAGTTACTGGAGCATTATGATCATGAAAAACTGACCAACCTTTCCGCGACATGCCATGTAAACACGATTACCAGTTTTCTTGCCCAGTAAATTTGTGATTTGATTGTGAGAGACTTTGGACATCAGTTGGCCGCATGTTTTGGCATCGAATGCTTGAAATATTTTACCTGCTAGGGATCTACCGATATCTAAAATGTAAAAATATATTTTGAGGAGAAAATATAGCTGCAGCACGTTAATCCAATGAGCATATTATCTATATATCATAAAAAATCTTACTTGGGATTTCAGTAAGGGGTAGGTTGCACAACCACTTGTACTCATCTCCAGTTAGTTCACATTCCGAGTGGGTTTCTAGCTGTTCTATATTTTCATCTGAAGAATACCACCTCCAGCTTTCATTTTTTGTTTGCCTATCTAGTTTCGGACATGCGCCTCCGGAACAGCCAAGAAGCCAATACTGGCCGTTAGGCTTAGCCTTCTTTGTGGCTAAACGTGCCAATAATTTACTTGTACCAAACCCAATAGACGCTGTACAGCCACCAGTGATGTCTCTTACTAATTCTCGTATATAACCACCCAAAATTAACGGATTAATGATTTGATAGGTTGCCTCCCAATTACCATCATGAAGTTTCGGTTTGATCTCGTTTTCATTTGAGTAAATTAGGAGTTCTGTACAGTCGGCATACAGTTCATCACAGCTTACCGCTTGGATGTCTCGAGTGAAGCTATAATGTACGGAATGAAATAGGCTAATATAAATTTTAGACGAAAACCTCGGAATAACAGTCAAACCAAGGTCCAGGCATTTTTTATTTTGTAAAGAAACGAAAGGAAACTGTCGAGACATATGTAAGACCTTTCAGATATATTTCATCAAAAAGAAAAGCAGGTGAGAAACTAGCTATGGTTTTTGTCATTGATTGACGTTAGACAATAGACCAAGGGATAGATGCTCCCTATGACTTGATTATAAGACATTTTTGAGGCCGTCAGCCTGAGGACCTAATCTCAGGCCGCGTAGCGAGTATTTGAAATCAAATAATTCATATAGAAAACTTCAGTCGATCAGTGATATGAAGTGGGAATCATCCAATAATTCTGGCGGGTACGGTTGAACTCTACCATTTGGTTTCTTACTGATTTTATATCTACAACTGAGGACTAGTTACTTGTATGGTTTGGAGGATTGCCAAAAGCCATTCTTAAGATGAAAATGTAAGTTAGTGTTACAAGCCTATTTTCCATTAATAAGTTCAAAAGCAACTGACTTACCGAGAAATGGTACTATATAGTAGCTCTGATACTGCTTTGTAAGCCTCGAAGTCATAAGGTAAAACAATTAAGTCTGGGCATAGTTGTTTGGCTCTTCCTAGAAGCATTCCGTTTTTTACTCCAGCCTATAATGTATGAGAATATATAAAATAAGTTGGGTATCAAGAACGCTAGGAAATATATTCTAAGAAAACCGTGTAACGCATTGGGAGACTTGGTTATCTGGAAGTTGCTTCTTCAAACTCAGTTCAGCTCATGAAGCGTTTATCAGGATTTCTAGTTTAAGAATGTTGATTGTAAGTGATTCTATCAAGGATAATATAAATACAATTAGTTTTAGAGATAAAGGAAGAGATCCAAACCAATATGGTCTGATTATTCAATCAGTACCTTGAGGTTTTATTCACATCACGTTATGGAATGTATCCTTTCTAGAACCGGTTACATGTATAGTGACAAACATATCAAGAAAGTACTTGTTCAATAATGGGTAATCATTAAACGCTAGGAGCCCATTTATATTAAAGAAGATGGATCGTATCTGTCATGTGCTACTCTATATTCAAATTAAAAGTAGGGGTCTATCTCAATAGATACTGTCGAGGCAAATGGGAGTTAGGAAGCCAGAAGGTCGTTTTAGCTTTCACAGCTGTTTACTTCTATTGAATTGTATGAACATTTAAATCATAGGTTTTTTGCAATGTCGAAAATTAATTAATGATTTCAGATTTATATGTAAGTTGTCTTTATGTCTCGTAAAATTTTGTTAAGTTTATTTCCAACCAGAGAACGTTTGTCTAACTTACACTGAAGGTGCTAATTTAGAGTATTCTAAATAATACAAAGAAGTATTTAAACTTTAATTGCACTTACCTGACGAGCAGTATATGAACAGGAAGCAACTTCAGACATAGATTCCGTGTGTCTATAATGGTAGTTAAACAATGCATGAATTTGGTTACGATATATTTTTGACAATAACACTGTGCTATGAATATTTATCATCAATGCGACTACGTATAAATACTAGGTTTTAAACTTTCATAGCATAAGTTACATAATGAGCTAAAAATAGTTAAAGAGCCAGCGGAAACGGAGCCATGAAATGGACAGGCGATGTGTTTAGTTTACTATCCCTTTTAATATGTTTCATATAAATAAACGCTGTGAAGCCTTCATGAGAAATGTTTTCCACGCTACATCAGAATCACTTAACACAATGAAAGTAACAGTCTCACAACTGATGCAAATAACATTTGGATGAGAGAGTATGTATATTTGTACCGAGTACAGCGGGGACTTGATTTCTATCAGTACTTTAACTGCTTGTGGCACAGGGTTTCATTTGAGATTTAGGTGGTGACCTCACCTGAGGACCATTAGTCTCGACAGGGTGCCGGAATGATATCACACCCCTTGCACTACTGAAGCTTCCAATCAGTATTGAGGTCTGCGGGATTATCGTAACCAATGGCTGGAGACTCTTGGTGACATGGCTGAGAATCGGTCACAATGGGGTGGGTGTGTACACTCTTTATCTTCCCTTACACCTCTCTTCCTACGAACTAATTCTTTCTTCCTGTATTATGTCCTTATATACAATCTTTATATATATATATATATATATCGTAACTGACTTTCTATCAGTCAGTGGAAAATAGGCGAAGAGAATAAATTATATGACGAAATTAATTAGGATTCAGAATACTACTTACTTATTACTACTTCTAATGTCGTTAACTGAGCCACGTGAGCTTTTCGCATGTGTAATAGCAACTGGCTTGTCTAATATTAAAAAAACACGAGAAGTATATCAATCGAAAAAATAGTTGGAAAGTCACGATGAATATAATTTTCCACATTTCACAAGTTTCAGTAAAATATATTAATTCGAAGATCAGATTGATTCAATTACATCATATACTAGTAC